ATACTTAGCCCATATTCCAAATCATAAAATTGGATATCATGAGCTTAATAATTCAGGAAATATTCCAAGATGGTTTTGTGGCAATAACAATACAAGGCATCTGAATTTTGAATCGAACCGTTATAAGAAAATGAAGTTGTAATTTTTTTTAAAAACAAGGGGGGATGGGGAAGAAATAAAAGGATTGATTTGAGCATGCCTGCAACACCAGTAACCAATACAGTCACAGGCTCCTTCTCCATGCTCAAGAAGCTCCACAAGTATTTTATAAGCTTCCAAAAAAAGGCAATGGTGAACAGAACAACCAAGATTTTCTGAAAAACAACATTATTCTCCATTTTCTCAAAAACGGACAGATGCAACAAACAATTCCTGTTAAAATCAAGACAATCCAATCATATGTTTTTATATAGGCGTAAGAGTACAATGATTGAAACAAAGAATCTACAGGGCACTTCCAGAACAAGGCAATCAGATGCCAAAACAAAGTCCACAAGATACTTAGAAATACAGAACATATTCTCAGTGCATATTCTTTATGATTAGTTTGTACATTCTAGAAGCAAACAGAAACCTCAGTGAATAAATCAGTCAAAATACTATCTCAGAAGAAATTCACTAGAAATTGAAATTTATGAGAATAACACAGGAGATGCAAGCAAACCATAAAACTTCTGGACAGATTGGACTATTGTGTTTCTGCCTAATTGGAACCATCAACAACTTTAGCAACAATCAAAGGGTCAAACAATCTATTTGAAACAACTTTCCCATTAACATAATAAGCTATTACTGCTGAACATTTTCTCAAGAGAACAATTTGAGATCACATTATAGCCATCAACAGTACCTATATACTCATCTTCCAGACCAAAAAATTAAAACATAATAATTAAAAAAATTATAAATGCAAAAGAGACTGGAAAACATGGTAAATCAGGTTACCCGCCAATCTCAATTGCATAATCACCACGGATTGTTCCAGGGGCGGATTCTGCTGGGTTGGTGGCACCAACAATCTTTCGGCCAGTTCGGATAACAGTCTTACCCTCCCAAATCATAGCAAGAACGAGACCAGAAATAATATAATCAACCAATCCACTGAAAAAGGGCTTTGCAGACAAGTCCTCATAGTGTTTCTCATCAAAAGGATGATCCACATTTATGAACTTCAAACCTAAACATATACCAGAAAAAAAAAATTATTGAGAAGAAATTCCTGATAAGTTACACATCCAAATTTAGCTAAGCATCCCAAAAAACTTATTGTAGTATAATTAACACACAGAAACTGTAAGCCATACATTAAATTTGATGTCCGAATTTTTTTGTCTGTAAGTCATTAAGTTGATAATCATTATAAAACAGGAAAGGCTTGTTAAATAGGGTTGTCACAAATTATCAAAGGGCACACAATCCTATAAGATCAAACATCGTTGGTTGGAAATTACCTTTCAAATAGAAGCCCTTCTTCTCAAACCTGCTAATGATGTCACCAACCTGCAACAAACATGAACCTCTCAGAAAATTTGAAAATTTTCACATTTTTAAACAATATGCAGAATTGGATTAAAACAGTTTATTGGATTTTGTGTAAGAAAAAAACTATGGTCGAAGTTACAAAGGAAGGCCTTTGTTCACCCACTTCACACATCCACAGACAATTAAAACGCAAGATTATGCATGTAAAATCCAACCACTACATACTACAAATATTAAAACTTGATGCATATATATAAAAACCTAAAATCACAGCTCAGAATTGTTAAAATTTGCGTGCTCCCAGTTCCACCCAAAAGAAAACCAACCCCTTCAATTCCTAGGTTTTCCCACCAACCAAACACCATACCAATAACACTTGCTATGAAATTCATAAACAAAAACAAGACCAAATAAAGCTACAAAATTGAAGTATCAAAAGAATACAATAGATGAAGAATTTGAAGAAATTACCAGGCCCCTTTGAACCCCATCAGGCTTGATTATGATGAAAGTTTGCTCCATGTTTTCCGTTGAAGATTTAAGACGGCAGAAGTACTAGTTCTGAGAGTGTGGGGATATGCTATGAAACTGAAAGAGTGAGGGAACGAGGGTCTATATACACAGTCCACTAAAAGCAAACCCTAACACTAATTTCTATGGAATATTAAAACAAAAGGCTATAAAAAAAATTGATCTGGTGCTGATTATTAAAACTGTTGCATCATTCAATCCCAAGTTAACAGCGAAATTGTGTGAGCTGGCTTGAGAATCATCAAATGGAAGAATGATTCTCACTGTGAATCGTAATGGTTGAGAAATGGGCAATGATGGAGGAGAGAGAAGAAAGAGAGAGTTTCAGGAGATGAAGTTTTAGGCGAGAGTTTGAGAGGGAGCTGGAAGTAATTGGGGCGAGAGTTTGAGAGGGAGATGAAGTTTTGGGCAGAGAGTTTGTGAGGGAAATCGTGAAAATTTTAGTTTAAGAGGGCGCTGGAAGTTATTGGGGCGAGAGTTTGAGAGGGAGATGAAGTTTTGGGCAGAGAGAGTTTGTAAGGGAAAGCGTGAAAATTTTGGGTTTAGGGTTGACTCGAGTTTAGGCATCGGAGGGATGTTACCAAAAATAGCCCCTCTTAAAAATAAAATAAAAACTAAGTACTTTAGGAATCTGTGGGTATGTAGATGATGCTAAAGGGGAATAAAGAAAACAAAATTTGTGTTGATGTCTTTACACTTGTTTAGTATCGTTATTTATGAAATCAATGCCTAATCTATTAATAGCATCGATTTCACTATCTACCGATGCCTATGTAGTGTTGCTAAAAGTGAAATTTGACATAGTGGACGTTAGAATTCTACACAATGACAGTTTTTATTTATCGACGTTTGAAATAAAATACTACATCACTTTTATAAATAAATAAAAATCGTCGTCTTCACTGATTTACCACGACGGTTAATATTTTTTATTTAGATTTTTAGTTTTGTCACTAACACTTTTTGTTTTCTTGAAACAGTTCAATCAACATGTAAATCAGCCATATGGAAAAATCTACATGGCACTCCTTGACAACCAACAAAAGTAGAGTGTGGCTATTACGTGATGCGTTTCATGAGAGATATAATTCATGATCCAGTAGCATTTGAGAAGAAGGTAAAAGGCAAAATTTAAGATTTTTTTTACTACCACGACTTTTTCTTAAAAACCGTCGTTTTTATCTTCATAACACGTCGGTTTTTGTTGTTTATTCTGCAGTTTGACAAGAAAAATGAACCAGTTTAGTATGTATAAGAACATATTGACAAAGTCATGCTGGAATGGACAGAATTCATTAACAAGCAATTACAGATTAAGAAGTTATGTAATTTATTTTAGGGAGCTTTAGTAATATACCCAAAATAGGACTTGAAATTATAAAAAAAAACCCTATATGGAATAGACTTTAAAAACATACCCAAAAACCATTTGCTATCGAAAAAATGAATGTTAAACTTCCTATAAATTACATCTCTACCATTTATTAACTTAAAACAAGCCCAATACAAAAAACTCAAAAAAAAAACCCAAAATAAGCGTAGCAAACCCAAAGTACATTGTTAATACCATGTCATAGAAGTGTATTGTTAATACCATATCATTGAAATATATTGTTAATATCATATCATAGAAGTACAATGTTAATATCATTTCATAGAAAAACATTGTTAATACCATTTCATACAAAAAACACACAAAAAAACCCAAAAAAGCCCAGCAAGATATCCGATATCCTTTGCAAAAATCACCTCCAATTGTCCATATGTTGGTTGTCGCGAATCTCACTGCTTGGTGCTCCGGGCCGAGGGGATGTGCGTCGAGATGATGATGAGGTTCGGGTAGAAGATGGTTTAAATGTTGCGCCTGTTTTGCATTCGACTCCTAATCAAACGATTGTGGCAGAGAGAGGAATTGATCTCGGCCGTCAGGTTCACAGCTTGAGCTACAAGGCCGTTTAGTGGTGGTGTTGGTGGCGGGTTTTAGGTGGTGCTCCGGGGCGTTGCTCAGAGAGCGACGGTCGTACGATATATGGGGTGAGTGAGGTGATAACAGAGATGGTGCTCCGGCGCCTTGAAAATTAAGGGTCGTATGATATATTGATGAATGAATTTTCCTTACAATCTACCACTACTCCTAGGAAAGCAAATAAATGTATTGAAAGTGCATTACAGGAAAATATAATTTGCTCCGTGGGAGGCTTTTGGTTTGGTGTTTGAACCATTTGAATGTAGTCCTGGGCCTGGTATTTATAGGAGGAGTTCTGGAAGGATAATCGAGGCTGACAAGACCTGCGTGGTGGAGCCTGACCGGGGCAAGTGGGTAGTCAAATCGGCATTTGGGATCGTGAAGTATGGTGGCTTGGGGTTGAGAAGCATGGTGGTGTGACCCCCATAAATCTCAGCAAATCTCGGCCACCGCCCTGATCGTGGGTTCTGCCCCTTTGGCCGTGGGAACGCATTTAATGCCCTGGTCTGGTGGTTGGTGATCTGACCTTAAGTCGTAAGATTACTTGTGAGAATGTCTGCGCCTAACCATCCTGATTTCCATCACCAAATCCTGACTTCAGTCACTTCCCTTGTGCATTAAATGCTTCTTGCACCCAGTAGTTTTGCTGCGGTGGTCAGAGGCACTACTTCATTAAATGGGGCATGGGACCCTGAGGCCACGTGACGATTTGACCACAGCTTCTTCGGTCGTGTCTTCTACGGCCTTCGGCTTCGGCCTTCAACACTGCGGTCGCCAGGCCGAGAGGATTCTGCCTTTGCAGTTTTCCTTTTGTTTCAGGAAGGCGAAAAGCTCGACGAAACGGTAGGCGCCAGGGCCGAAAGGAAGTCCCCTCAATCAGCTCATGACCGTGATTTATTAGGCACAAACATTGCCCCCACATCCCTGGATTCTTCGGTCGCGGCCTGGGCAGAGGCCGAAAGGATTCCAAGGGATGGACCCTTTGCATTCCCCCTGAAGTGATTGACAATTGGTGCTTTAAATGCGTAGGTCAATCGGCGCATTAAATGCGCAAGCACGTCTTGCAGGCCATCATTGCCCAGACTTGCGCGAGCCGTCGTTTCGTCTCGTCAAACGAAGCGACGGCCTCTGGGCTTTCGACATGTCATCGCGCCCCTTGGGCACGCTTGTCAGGCTGTTACGTCTCTCGAGAGAGCCACGCCCTTTCGTTTCGAATTCTAGCGCCAATATAAAAGCCTGTCCTTCTTCATCCCTTCCTTACGCTTTCAGAAATTTCAAACGCCCAAAACTCTGCCAAACCTTTCTCTCAACTCTTCAATCCTTTCGAACTTCACATTTCAGCACTCCACCTCTTTTTGCCCAGTTATCTTCCTTTGTTAGTAACCAACGACTTCAGTCGCTTCTCCTGTGTTTCTCTGAACTCTCGAACTCTTTGCCCCTTTTTCTGAGCGCTCGGCTCCCTGGTGTTCTTTGTGTTCATCACCCTTCCTTCGATTTTTTTTAAAACATACCCGTACTTTAATCTGTTTCAATGGCCTCTAGCACCCCTACATCTGTTGAAGCTCGGTCCCAAGTCTTCCAGACTGAGTTTGAAGACATTTGCCGAGAAATCCAGGGCTCAGTCTTACCCAACATCGTCACACTTTGGACTGATGACGACGGCACAGCCACCGACTCTTGCGTCCTCGGCCCCTCTGTAGATGGCGGGATGCCAGAGAGGCTGGGGGCTCATTTGAAGAACAATCTGGTGGACCTCTCGGCCTTTGACGGGGGGGACTTCCAAGATTGGAATGTCGCCAGGCCGCAGCCCCAATGGCCAACCTTAATCCCGGACTGGGAAAAATGGCTGCCGAGGATGAAGCACTTCTTCGGCCAGCAATGGAAGGATCAAGGCATCTACCACTTGATCAAGCTGTTCGATCGGCCACTTGTCATGGACCGGTCGCTCTTGGCCGCGGCCCTATGCTTCTGGTCGTCGGCCACAAATACTATGAACCTCCAGTTTGGCATGATGACGCCGACCGTTCTAGACATGGCTGCCCTATTTAGCCTTTCTCCCCTTGGCATGGAAGTAAATGCCGCTCTGGTGGCCCCTAAGGCTGAAGGGAGTTTTAAGGCCGCGTGGCCTCCGGTCGCCAAACTTGCTAGGAGTAAGGCGAAGAACATGCTCAACTACTCCAGCTTCTACAGCAACTTCGGCGTGGAGGACAGCGCCGATGATGATTCCATCGCTCTTTTGGGCGAGGTCGAGCATGTCGCGTTCTTGCTGTACTGGCTATGCAAGTTCGTGTTTTGCACCCAGGCGAACAAAGTCACCCTGGAGTTCGCCCACCTGGCCGACTATCTTGCGTAGGGCGGAAGGCTGGCGCTCGGCCCATTCCTCCTCGGTCATATCTACCGCACGCTTCACGACGTCGTCACGGATGGGATGAAGCCGAAGCACAGTGGTCCACTATGGGCCTTCCAGTTCTGGCTGCAGGCTTATTTCCCAAAGCTGAGGGGAGTGGCCAATATTACTGACACCGAGCCGTTGGCCAATGCGTTTGCCCGGGCCCCCAAGAAGCATAACACCTCGACTTCCTGTTATAAATTTTTCTATGGCTTGGTCGAGAGGACTGGGTCGCAATTTCGGGTGTGCCTTGCTCGGCCGTACCCTTTGTTCTTGGCGCACGACCTCTCCGTGATTCCTGACGGTGAAACGGAGAACGATCTGAAGGAAATCTGGGGCTCCTTCCTGGTCGCGCGCGACCTTCATTGCGGCCTGTCCAAGGCTGGGGCCGAACTTCGTGGCGCGGCAATTCGGCTTGATCCAGACGGCACCGCTTCCCCTGTTGTCAACCAATTGGCTCTCGTCTTGGAGGGCCGACGTCGCCCAGCAGCACGGCGTGGCTGGCATTTCCTTCCAACTCCAAAAGGGAATGACCTTCCTTACTCTGACGCCTTGGTTGCGTCGCAACGCGTACGACGAGGATGGAAAAGTCTGGTACGAAGAGTGCATCTGGGCCAGATTCATTCGGCCTGTTGAAGAGGCCGTGAGGGGGGCTCTGAAGAATGCAGATTGGGACCCCCTCGTCCCCAAGGCTGGTAAGGGAAAGAAGGCCCCGGACGTGCTTCCTCGACCGAGCATGCCGGCCGTGGGCGTACCAGGGTGGCGGCCCCTCCTTCGGTTAGAGCAGCGATCGCGACCTCAACCAAGGCCCCAACCCCCAAAGCGTCGGTTGTAGTGGGGGCGCAAAAAACTTCAGCGCATAGGACCATGCCATTCGCCCCGCCGGCTCGACCGATTGCTGCCGTTGGTAAGCCCTCTTTCTTTTTTGCTTTGCCGTTGGCCTATCCGAGCCACCTTTGTCTTTGTTTAATTGCTTTTTACCTCTTTTACTTCTCCCTGTACACACAGCCCCGGGTCGCAAGAGGGATCGGGAGGCCTTAAACGCTGGGGCCGCAGCGGTTGAGGCCGCGCCGGCCGAAGGTGTTGCCGTTGAGACGGCGGTGCTAGAGCAGCCGAGAAAAAGGGTCCTCCTCGTTCTTTCGGAGGCCGAGGACTAGGAAGAAGTCTCCCCTGGGATCGTGAGTGAAGCCCCTCTAGTGACCGTAAGTACTCCTCCTTGATTTCTTTTTCCTCCTTTTTCAGGGCGAGGCAGTGGCCGAGGAGTTGGCCGAGGAGGTGGCCGCTGCCGAGGTAGCAGTTGAGGGGACGGCCATCGCCGAGGTAGCGGTTGCAGAGGTGCCAGCCACTAAGGAGGCCGTCACGGACGTGCCGGACCCGACGCGGGCCATCCTGGTGGAAGTCCCTTCGGCCGCCTCTGCCGTGCCTACCTTGGCCGTTACCGCGTTCGTTGAGCCGTTGTCGTCCGCTCCTCGTCGTCCAAGCGACATCGTGATCCGCTCAGTAAGCGTTTTGCTTTTACTGTACTTTCGTTTTATTTTCAGAATTCTGCCACATGCCTTTGACCGAATTTTTGCTTCCAGCCTCCCCAGTCATCTCTGTTGCTACCTGCGGTCGCTGTGAGTATGCCCAAGACTCGACAGTAGTGACTGAGCTTGCAATGGTCGATGCTATAGCTACCGACGCGCCGAGTCTTCCGACTGTCTCCTCGACGGTCCTGACCGAGCTTGTGGTTGCAGAAGCTCCTGGCGCGCCGTCGGCCGCTGAAGTGAGTATTTAGATTTTCACCTTGTCATTCCCCATGTCCTAGTTGGTTGTTTCCCATTTGAATTCCTTTTTCCATTTTTAGGGGACCGCCTCCTCCGATGATCTCGAGGAGTTATATGCCAGTCTCCATGAAGAAGGAGGCAGCTCGGCCTCGACTCCTTTGGACGACTCTAGGGCCGTCATCGAAAGGCTCCGAGAGTACCTATTCCTTAGGGTTCACCAAATGACCACTGCTGAGGCATTCATGGAGTTCAAGTCCTGTCTGGATACGGCCATGGCACTGGGGCTACTTGACTCGGCTCAGCTGGATGAGCTACAGGCTCGCTTGGCCGAGAGCGAGGAGATGATCGGTCGGTATGCTGAGGCAAACATAAGGATGACCGAGGGATGCTCGCTCGAGCAAGAGCTGTCGGCGATAAAAAACCAACTCCAACCTGCCATGGCCCGCTTGAAGGAAAATGACCTCGTCATCCGAAGAGAGAATGAGCAACTTGCTTAGGTCAAGGTTCAGATTGCCGAGCTCCAGGCCCGTCGAGATCTCATCCTTCAGCGTCGAGATGGTGCGGTCGCGGTCGAAACTGAGCTGAAGTCTTCGGCCAGGAAAATCCTTAAGGCGGCAACCGAGAAAAAGAGGGCATTGGCCGAGAGGAAGCTGATCCGGGCGAGGTGGCAGGCGGATGTAGATGGTGGGGACATCGCCTAGAGAAGGATAACATGCATAATCTGGGGGATGTTTAGCGAGGGGGTTTAGGTGGGTGGCCGTTCAAAGATTTTGGGATGTAATAGTTAAACACTTTCTTTTCCCACAGACATACAGATACACGCATATATACATATATATATATTTTTTTTTGTGATCGGCCATGACTGGCTGTTCTTTTTTTTTCCTTTGTAAAAAGAAACGATCTCTTCATCTAAATACAAAGCGTGGGCCTTCTTCTCTAATTGATTGAATGTATGATGTTTGCTTTATATTGGCCGCGCCATTTGTTTAGCTCGCCCGCCTACTTCCCCCTCTTTTTCTTTTTGACTTTTTTGTCGTAGGACCTCGGTGCCATTTTTTCTTGAACTTGCGCCGAACTGTAAGCAGCGAGCGCTGACTGTTCTAACTTTTCTAAACTCCAGGGCACGGCTTGCGCGTAGCTCTCTGTCTTTCGCCTAAGCCGCGTGAAAACTCGAAGAAATCGAACCTCTAGCTTCATTAGTTTATGAATGTCATGGCCGTAGGTCAAGATATAAGGAAATGTGCTCATGGAGTGCTTTGATGTGCGGCATGCCCAAGAAGCCCTAGAGAGCAAGTCGCGCCAAATCATGGGCTTTCCAGGTGGGTACAGCTTAGTATGACTTGGTGCCCCCGGCCGTCTCTGGGCTGAGCCATCCTTGGTCGGGCGCCGGGCGTCTTCGGTCCGAGGATCCTAAGGGGGCGACTCCAGCTGGGTTGGAAGTGGCCACTGGTCCTGTTGTGCATCGTCCTGAGGCTTGATCTGCTGGCCCACTTGAGCGAGGGACTCATCCGTTACGACCGAACCGGGCGGCATTGGGTGAGCACCGTAGGTTTGACCGGGGTTCGTATGTGTTGTCGTTGGAACGGCCGAACCATACTGAATATGGGAGCCTGTCGGCAATAACGACATATGTAATGGTGAAACGGTCGGATTGCTTTGACCGTATTGCTGTGACGAAGCAGCGGTCGAGTTGCTTGGGCCGGGATGGGTCTGGACGGCCACAGTGTGGACTGGGCCAAGTTGTTGGACCGCGGACTGTGTGGGGCTGCTTTGCCCTAGTGACACGGCCAAAGCATGGAGTGGGCCGTACGTCGTCTCTGCCGGGTAGGTCGGTCCGGGATTTACCCATGTTGGCTGGGATTGCCCCCAGCTGTTCGTCGGCAGCTGAGAATGTTGGTCGTAGCCTGACGCTTAGGTGCGGCCAGAGATGCCGAGGCTGCTGCTTTCGCCGTAGGGCTCAAACCTCTCGCACTCTTGGCCTCTCGTTACGGACGATGTCACCAGTATCCTCTCCTGAAAGAGCGTCTGTAGCTCTGAGGAAAACCTGTCCATTATGGCCATAAAGGATGTTTCTATCCTGTAGGCCTGCTTTGCCATCAGATCTTCCACGACTGCTTGCTCTCCCACGGACTCGGCCGTGCGATCCGTCGTTATTGGACCGCTGGCCGAGATTCTGACCGCGTGTTCGGTCTCAGTGACAATGATTGGTGAGGTGGACTCAGGAGCCTCGGAAGTCATTTCGACTGTTTTGTTTTTGAGTTTTGCCTGTGCCCTAGTTTTCACCTTCAGTTTCTGACAAAAGTCCCACCGGGCGTGCCTGGTGCTCCGGGCTGAGGGGATGTGCGT